ATGGGGAGTTCTCGAAGTCAAACCACTTTCCGAGGTACGCAAGGGCCCTGTCATAGACAATCACGAAAGTCCAGCTTTGCAACTTGTCCACCAGGAAGGATTTGAAGTCCCAGATTAGCCTTGACACTGAAGAACATATCATCCCTTCGATTATTCAGCTGCTTCCTGAGCTTAGTCATTACAGCGTAAAGTTCTGTCGGCTCAAGGTGACTCTTTTCGAGGGTGAGGATCGCGGAACGAAACATTCGCAAGGAACGAGTGCATGAAATGCATGTAGCACACCAGAAGCGTGACACTCTCTGAAAGTCTTTCACCTAGGTTGCCTATAAATCTCCAGATTATTTTTTCGCACTCCTTCTCTCCTTGACTCAGAAAGTATGACTTGATGAGTACCAGTTCTTAGTTTGTCTAAGGCTGTAAACAAGCTTAACCAGTGGACCGAAATATGACACAAAACTTTGCTATATTCCTGATCACAAAATTCAAAGAATGTTTTCGAACATGCACTGACGTATTTTTCGCTTTTTCAAAGACGAACGTTTTGTTGCTCATGATGCAAGCAAAGGAAGCAATTTAACTACTTATACTGATTTCCGCTCAGTTCTAACGATCGGTGGGCTTGAAGGGTTCTTGCTTCGAGCTATTATGGGTACATAGTAGAAAGTGGTTTTCTTCAGTCCTATTAGGAGCACGGCACAACGTCTTGGGGAGGGAGAAGGGGGATCGATCTAGTATGCATGCAAGGCTTGCCGTGACTCTTCACAAGCCTTGGCAGGAGAGGGAGGGCGATGTCCCCGTAGAGCGGTTGGTGTTTCCTGCTGCTGCTGAATGTGCAAGGATTCGAGGAGGAGCCGCCGGCGAGGGTTCCTTCTTTTTGCCAGAATCATCGCGCCGTCGGGACGGATATGGTGGTCAAACCGCTCACCAAACCGCTCACAGCGTTCTGCTACTGCGCTCCGTTCTCGGTTCAACTGACAGAGGTTATTCTTGTGCTGCCGCATTCTTTCGTGGAAGTTCTTAGTTTCCCCAATGTAGGAAGCGGGGCAGTCGGCGCGATCCAGTACACGACGCCCTGAGCTTTTTCCGCAGGTGCGCGATCTTTGGACCGAGGGATGAAGCTGCTGATGGTGGTGGATGCCTTGTGGGCTACGTCGACCCCTGCGTTTCTCAGTATATGGGATATTCCTTCTCTGGCTCGGGCGATCGATGTAGGGGATCAACATGCAGTGTCGTTGCGGCGATGCAGGTGTCACGTTTCCCCCGTCTTTTCTTTTCCATCTGCGCAGTCAGTCCCCGACCGCACAGGTGGAATTGCTCAGTCAACAATGCGGCGAACACGGAGAGGAGGAAAAACAAAATATTTTGAATATGATGAGAAAAAAATCGGCCAATGACGGCCGGTATTAGGTGCGGACCGGCGACCGGCCCCTTGTGTAAAACCGGCCTGGCCGGTCCAAAACCGGGCATGTGGCAACCCTACATCCACCCAATCATACAGGACATGATTCCGAAGGTTAAGTGTGCTTGGAAACTATGACTGACTTCTACTAGCGCCCTCCTGTCATTGGTGGCAGCCTGTGACGAGAGAGAAAAAAATGTGGCTTCTAGATGGTATGTACAGAGGGTAACTTGATCTAATTTTGCTTGTACAGTGAAATCTCATTAATTCAGACTTCATGAGGTGAGAAAAAAATATCCACAGACACTGAATTAAATGTATAAAAAAACAATCAAGAAGTCCATCACGTCAATGCATTTTCATTTTCTTAATGAGAGAATGAATTCGGTACTTATTTTGCATAAGAACAGTGCAAAAGCTACAATTTTCATCATCTGCAACTTTCTTCACAATGCGACCGCACTTCTAGAATTTAGTTTAGCCCAAACGTTCTTTGAAGCCATCCCATATTAAGTACGCTACCAACACTACCACATGTACTCGACAATTTTTTCACCAGAATAATGGCCAGCGATAGCTTGTTAGTCCATCACAACGTAGCAAGCAAGTTTTATGCCAGCATACAAACTGCCCTTCAAGCTTTTCATCTTCTACAGCTTCTGCCATGTTTCAGTTCTGTGTAAGTGTACGCACGTTGCCTGAAGTCAGAATGAAGCAAATGAGCGCCGCATATACTTTGGACAAAACCATGGGCACTAGAGACACAACAACAGAGTTCACCCAGTTCTGAAGCCACGCGTGCGGACTACGTCCAGACTCCAAACAAAGCTATACAGCACCACACCTGCTGATAAATATAAACTTGGCTTATTAATGCACCATCGTGGATGACGACTATGCAGTTCTGAAGGCAAGTGGCGAAACCAAAACTACCATTAGTCACAGCTTTTATACGAGTCACAACTACAAACAGCACTACTGACACAACTACAAACAGCGCTCACCCAGTTTCCGTGCGCCTAGTAAAAATGAAAATGAAAGACGTTTGTCGTTGCCGTTAAAGCCTTGGTTGTCGACGACGCGATTGTGGCAAAATTGTGGATGGCGAACTGCTTTCGTGAATACCTGCAGCTGTTGCAGTTATTCGCAAATGCCATTTTCTCTCCTTTGCTTTGCACATTTGCGGCATTTCAGTGCTTGGAGTTCTTCAAGAATCATCCGAATTAATTGGGTTGTGGCCAAATATGACTGGACTACTAATGAGTTTGATTTCATTAAACAATACATTAGCTTGGTTGAACCACAGAATGCATCCTGGATTACCTGATTTTTCGAAACTACTGGGGCTCAAATTAATAAGCTTCTGCTGTATTTGGGAATTTTCCTGAATGATAACTTTAGATGGCATCCATGACGTGTCCCGACTGCTTATGTTCTGTTCCTTTTGACACGTTCATTGAGAATAAATCTAAAGCAAAAATGTAGGCTCGTGCGAATATTCGCACTTATAATATCTGAACAAATATTAGAGTATCTGAATTGCTTTGGTTCGAATTTGTTTTGAAAAAAATTTCGAAGTATTCGATACGAATGAATAGACATATGTAAACTATATGCAAGTACCTGTAAAGTAATTTTGCTGCAGTAGACGAATTATATGCTGTGAATACACCCTTCCAGGAGAAATCCGCACTACTGCAAAGCTCTACATCAAGGCTAAATGAACATATTACTTTCACATCAATTCATCAGCTTTCAAGTTTAGAAGCTTACTATACCAGCTTATATTCTCTTAGTATAGTAAATTTTAAAATGTAAGGTATTTTACAGGTTATCACTTGCATTTCCAGCTATTATTCAAAGCTTGATACGTTTCCTTTAAACAAAAAAGAATAACACTTTGCACCGACTTGTCCTAATTTTTTTTAATAATGTGCACGTTACTTGGATCATGACAAATATGTATGCTCATATTTTTTTAAACCGTGTGATATATATTATTCAAATTCAATTCACAATTATTTGACCGAATTGCAGTTCGCTTAGAAATCGCTTATAACTTAACATTTACTATATGCAGAAGTCTAGAAGAATGGCAATATGATGAGCGTTCCATGAGGGTGTTCCATACACGAGAGCTTTAAAGCCTAGTGATTGTAGGGTTGCCCCTGACTAACTAGCACACGCAAACGTCTCTAGCTTCATCCAACTAGTTATCACCAGATCTCCTACACAGGCAGTCAACGTACCGGCTCCTGCTTCAGGCGCCGCAAGAAGCCGGGACACCTTCCCAAAGTTGGCCGTTGTGTCAGTTTCGAACTTCGCACTCTTCTGACGCTTGGTTGGGGGCAGGCTGCACATGCATAGAAAAAAGTGACACTACTCATCATTTGTTGCAAGTAAATTTTTCTTTCCCATCCAAACCAGGCAAAAACGTAAGGTACCTGTAACAGTCAAATGCCAATAAAGTTTGCGATAACAAAGTATTTGTTATAAGGAAGCAAATGAGGAATCGCATTGCTTTTTGTAGTGTAATGAACATACACTCATAATGAATCCTCGAATGCAGCAGAGCCATTTTCGTGTCAACGCAACGCCACTGTATTAAGGTTTTAGTGAAAAATATGAAATTTCACACACAAGAAAATTCCTTCATTGTGTTACATTGTATTTACCAGATGAAAAAAAAAAATCCGCAAACAAGGGTTGGGTTTGCGAGCCACATTTAGAAAAGCTCGAACACTCAACTCCTGTTTAGGGATTTTTTTCACCGCAAGCTTTCATAGGTGCTCGAGCACATCCCTGTTTACGGATTTTTTCACCGTAAGCTTCCATGAGGACACAACTCCTGTTTAGAGATTTTTTTCACTGACAGCTTCGACAGTGCTCGAGCACACCCTTCTTTACAGATTTTTTTTTCAACGCAAGCTTCTTATGTGCTTGCGCACACAATCCTTGTTTACTAATTTTTCTACTGCAAGCTTCCATGGTGCACATCCCCCTCTATGGATTTTTTTTCACCACAAGCTTCAATCTTCCCCTCCCCGTCGGTTTTTGCAGTTAACATACATAACTAGCTGTAACTGGTAAAACATATCTTGCTTCCATGATGTCCAGTTATTCCCAATATTTCTGTTGTTCACATTGAAATCTAACTGGATACCAGATACTGACTGATGCTCCCATGGTTGATTTACATATATACCCAATAAAGTGGAGGGGGGTAGAGCAGCCGTGGTAGCTCAGTTGATAGAGCATCGGACGCGTTATTCGAATGTCACAGGTTCGGTCCCTGCCCACGGTAAGTAATCTTTCCATCCACTTTTCTTTTTTTCGAATTTACCTTACATTTACCTGATATAACACCCCCTATTTTTTCCTTGGCATGATTTCCTGTTAGATCTCATTAATATTGTGTCTAACAAAGAAACATGAGCCCTTAAGTGTACACTTGTTTCCTTGCTTGTGTTCCCAGACTTTTTTTTGCCTCAGTGCAAGTTCGGCCAATAAAAAGTTTCCATCTGTATGAGCATGTGTTCTGCATGTTTCATTGACACAACCATGTGAAAATGTCAAAAAGTAAATAACGGTTTATGCCAGCTCACTCGATGTTCAGTGTGGTTTGATGCTTCCGTCGCTGGATGAGCATCTTCAGGCACTGCTCTGCTAGAGCTGAAATGAGAAAAAAGAAATACACAGCAACTGAAGCAAACTGAAAGAATTTTTTTTCTTAAATGTTTGTGCATGTAGAACAAAAGTGCCTAGATTCTGTGCATCTGTGACTAGAAGAGAAAGCGGCATAAGGCAAAAAGTGTGCGTAAAAGAGTGACACCACATGGGGTTATTCGAAGGAGCAAACAAGCAACAAATTGGAATTGAAAATTAAGTTCAGGATTCATATGTGCCCGAGCAACGTGATTATGAAGTTGAAGTGCAGGACTGCAGATATTACTTTTGACTACCCATTGATTTTTCAACATGTTACTACATGTAAGCATACTGGTGTTTTTGCAATTTGTATCCAGCTAAATGAAGGCCAAATCGAAACCATGGCGACAACCATTACACCAAACAAAATATTTGCAGCACTCTTCTCAGTGGACCAGCCGAGTTTTGCCCAAAAGGTACCTCGATGTTTTTATTTTGTAGTTCACATGCATTGCACATTTGCCGTAATATTGTTCAGAATGATTTGCTCCTTCAACATTCACAATCAATTAATTTTAATCTGCACAGAGTGAGTATAATTGCCACCTGCATCCATAGGTCGGCAAAATTGTGGTGCTCACAGAGACTCCCTTCATGAAAACCACATTCAAACAAATTGCAAGAAAATAAGTTTGTTATATCCGAAAATTTGTTATAAAGACTATTCCCAACATTGTATTTATTGCGATAATATTCTTCATTTACTTTGTTTTAACTGATATTTTATCATATCTGCATGCATTAAATTGAGGTTTGAGTTACACTTTGCGCTTCGGGCTCACTTGGACTCAGACTCACTAAAATGTTCCTGAGCTGACCCCACTCAAGCTTACGGAAAAATTACTTGCTTAGACTCTGACTCACGGCTCGATTCGAGTCCGAGTGAGTTCGCTGACCAACGCCTGCATCCCTGGATTACAGTAACCAACTGGTATGCTACTCTTGCAGCCGCACTCCCACATTGCAGGACTGCCTGTGCTCTCACCTCGAGTGAGGGCAGTCTTCTTGCGGTAAAGAACCCACAGCCCAGTGACGAGCCGACAGGAGAGTCGGAGGGAGAAACGCAGCGACTGCCGCCCAGCAATCCCATGGGTCAGATCGCTCTTGAGAGCCTCACTGCAATCAATCAGATTTATCGATACACAACATGTTAACTACAAGGCACAATGTATGAAGGCACGCTCCCCAAGGTAGTAAGACTGCGATTTAATTCCTGGAGAGGGTTACATACAAATATTACGAATGTCAGCTCCAGCTTGAGCAAGAAAACATACATAAACCAATATGCATATCAGAACAAGAAAAAAAGTGTTGGAATCAAAACACATGAACAACTTGATGAGTAAAATACGGCATGCAGACACACAAATCAAGTACAACTGAGGAAAGATGCAAATGAAAGATTTAAGAAATACTGTTTTAATGAATTCCTAATTGATATTAAGGAAAATAGGCAATAATGATAGGTGTAAACGATTCCATAGTAAGATCACACAGCACAAGCAAACTCTATCACCTATCCTGAGGCATTTGTGAAAAGAAGCTTGCACCACAAAGTTGACACACTCGGCACAACAACAGGACCAAAGGGGAACCGACCCCAGATTACGTATACATTCACTCACTGATTCTATCGTCTATTCTAAAGGCCGGAGGACATAACAGAGAGTGAGGGAAGATGAGCACATACACGAAAATCAATACAAATGATCTAATATATAAAGCATAAACTGCTCATAACGTAGTTCATTGCAGCCATGAACATCGGCCCTATAACGTTTATCGAAAGTAGCACTTGCACAAAGCGTCTTGAGATGGCAGCCTCGTGAGTATGATAATCGAGGCAAGCAATGCGATCTAAATTTCCGAATGTTTGAAACCTTACACATTCGCGTTGCCACCAAAATAACACAGAATAAAACAAACAAGAAATCATTATTGCGGGAATTTAAGGACTACATTTCAGAACACCTCGGATATGTGCATACACAGAAATTATGTCAATCAAGACCAAATTTCACGCACTGAAAGGTACTAATCGTTTCATTCATGGGTACGCACCCTGTGTTCCAGGACACTGCAAACGAATCCCGAACCACTATTCGAATGTTACACCCGCTATCCATGCCCTCATTTTTTTTAAACATATAACTCCCATCTTTTCAAGCGCGAACACTGTGAAGAGTTTCATTGATTTCGTACCATACCACAACTTCCACACTGCTCACGACCGCTGCCGAAAAAGAAACCAACACTATGGCCTGCAGGTTGGCATGTTGTCACGGAAAGCTTTTCCAAGACAACACGTAAATCGGATGCCAAAAACACACTCAAGCAGCAGTGTGCATTATACGAAGTTTGGGTTCCCGGCCACGAGATGAACTGTGACAAAAGTCTGCCAAGCTTGCGTACGCCCATGTATTGGCAACAAAGGTGGCAGCTTGTGCCGTAACCAAACCCATAAAATTTTTAATTAGCAGAGGAGTTTGCAAGCGTGGCATCTCTTACGACCTACGAAGACGCTTTTCCAAAGAGGAAAGTCAAAGAGCTTGATGTGGAGCTAGGTGATCGCATGTTTCATGTGGAACGGAGGCGGTCGGAAGTAGCCCGAGCTTCCTCACCCAGTGAAACCGCGATGAAGTGCTGCTAAAGTCTCTGAGCTGCTGCCGTGGTTTTAAGGCAACAGCGCTAAAGAGCCCATCTTGCAGAAATACTGGTATTAGCATCACTAGTTGCGCGCGAGAAAATGATCATTTTGTTTAATTGTGATGGAAAAATCGAGAAAGATGGGAAAAAAATAAATATTAAAAGTTTTCATTTTCAAGTGATAACTGAGCCTAAGCCTTCTGCATGGCAATCAGGTGTCACGTCCCCACTTCGAAAAAAAAAAAGCACTCTATGAATGATGTGCAGTCGAAGGGTTGTCTAAGGGCATGTAATTTTGCATGGTGAAATACTGGAATCGAACTAGCATCAATACGCAGGAATTTCACAATGACAGCATGGTTTTCAGCTACCCACACATTACGAAGTGTGCGGCTGTGCAACTGCACATGGCACCTTACGGACGAGTAGTGAGTACTCCGCCAATCAGCAAAAAAATTATGGCATAGTGGGCACTTAGCAACTGTAAATTTTAGCATCGTTTCAAACGGTAGCATTCCACGATAATTTGAATGGCCAATGTTGCTCGCACAAATGTTTCTTTATTTGCAGTGTGGTTGTAGGCGATGCGCACAGAGCCCGATTACACTGCAGCGTTCTACGCATGAAGGCGAAGATCAAGCACACTGCAAGTTTTTTTTTTCTTTCTTCTCCCTCCAGCCTTCATTCGTCTACTCTGCATCCCATCCTCCTTCATCGCGTCTTTGCTCTCTCCTCGGCGGCGCACCTTCTTTTAGAAGTGCACTCACAACCGCATTTGTCAGCAATCCGGCAACCGCGTTATAACCAGTCTTTCCTTTAGAGAATTGTGCAATAAATGATATGCATCCATGTGATGTTCTATGGGAGGGTAAACAGGAGCCAAAAGAGACCACGCTATAACCGGCCCTATGCTGTAATTGGTCACATTATAAGTGCTCTGAAACGTAATGTATGGGTTGTACGTCCTTAACCCTCAACAGTTCATTTGAAAAAAAATTCTGGTCTTTCATGTGCCTATTTTTTTTATTGCTGATTTCGATTCCGATTGTACTACATTGTAGCTAATCGATGTTCAAAAAACACTTTAACCACGTACTCAGCCAAATCAACGAAATAAAGTTTATTTCTGAAGAATACATAGGAAACCCCCGACCTGTCGTTAATAAAATGAAAAACCTCATAAACAAAATAGTTAAAGATACCACATCTCTCTTCACTTGTGTAGGCTAAGCGCTATTCGGGTACTTAATTCGAGAAGCTTTGGAGCTGTGTGGAAAATTTCAAAACGCGGAATAACGTGAAGCGGCTTCACTGGCGGGCACTAATAATGTTCACACCTGAGCTGTCTTCATCACTACTGGAGCAGCTGCCCTTTCACTGTCATCGCTGTCTTCCCTTTCGGACACAAGATAAATATCTGTACTCGAATCATCATCACTTGAAGAAGATTACAAAAACCAATAGCTTCTTTTTCGTGTTCACATGCCAGTTATGCACAGATCACCGCCATCGCATGCCGTCTTTCCATACAAAAACCGCGCTCCTGCGGCGGGAGAAAACTAAATCCTTGAGGAAATGCTGCCATCTAGTGGATGACACGCAATCTAACCCGTAAATGCGTGCTTCTCCACCTTAATGCTAGAGGGGAGTACCTGTTCCACTAGGACGAAATCTACTCGTCCTGAGCAGTTTGGTGACAGTTCGGGCAGGACGAGCTCTGCTTGTCCAAAGCAGTTAAGGGTGTTCCACGCCCTACCTGCACAGCCACAACGCACATGCTGGGACTCCTGCCACACGCAGGCGGAGGACAGATAAGCCAATTGGCGACAGCTCCTTCACCCTCTGCTTGGGTGCGGCAGGTGTACCGGCATGTGTGCTGCGGCTGTGCGGCTAGCGCATGGAACGGCCCTAAGAGGTTAAACCACGACAAGATTGTGAAAGAAACCTAAGTGATAGGCTCCAGCAATCTGGAATACTTGGGGTTCTTTAACATCCGTGGCCTCCTAGCACTTCACCTCCATTGAAACGCAGCAGCCGCATCCTTGATTCTAGCCTTCGAACTTCAGGTCGGCAGTCGAGCACACCAACTATCAGACCATTGCAGAGGGTCAGTACGTACAATAGACAATTTTAGTTGAGCAAATGCAATGGTCCTGTGCACCGACACACTAGTGGGAGCACGACTGCACTTGCACTGGAACTACGAAAGATGCATGTATTCGCGAACGCACGGAATGCACACGCTAGATCTCGGTGCATACCTCGTGCCATCCATTGCCAACGTGTACCTTAGAAGCAGCTCTCATGCAAGATCTCGACCTGTTGGCAGCAAAACAGACAAGATGGCCCCAACCAACAGCAGCACAGTGCATGATCATGGCAACAAAGTCCCTGTCAATCTCGGTGTTTCCCTTGATTTGGAGCTTATGCAAATAGCTTGAACCCACTCTTTAAACAGGAGCAGTGGATTTGGGCCTGTGTTCGGTAAGCTTATATATGATCCGTCTGTGAGCAGCACAGCGAAAGCTAGGAAAAGGGCCCCATGCAGATTCGTCATCATAATCGAGCGGCGCCACTTCGATTTCTCGATTTCTCCCGATCTTTGCGCAGACAAGTCTGGGAGGAATCGAGAACATCGCTGGGCTGTCTGAATAGCAGCATTTTCCGCAAGGAGGATAACGGGCACGCACTCTGTTGCAGGCCAACCGTCGACCGAGGGTTTTCATGCCGTCGTTTCCTACTGGCAATGCATGCTGTTAAGCTCTGGATGTGACAGGCACCGTGATAAAGTCTCCTTTCATAGAGGCCCATGGTTTTCTTGCAGCTGCCAGCAGAGAATTAGTTGCTTGGCACCCGGGCAAAAAGAAATCGCAGCTGGGGACTTAATCTCTCCCCTCACAGCAAACCTATAAAAAGCATTGTTGTCTGCTCGACATTTTGCAAATACTGTCGCCGGCACCTGCTAGGTGGCTATCAGTGGTGCCAGCCGCAACCACTATAGGTGACGCACTAGTCGTACAAGCACACATACAATATGAGACATGCATACAAAGTTACTCAGACGCCGAGATGAAACTTTATGAGTAAACACTACAGTCAACCATGTCCTTATTTTTTGCATTAAATAATCAAATTGTAGGCTCAACTAAATGCATGCGCGATCAGTTTTTGGTTGTGTTCTGTCGGAGCAAAAAAGAAAAACACTTTGGACGTCGGTCTCGGACACTGACCGAGCCATCCGACATTGCATTGTTTCACCGGGCTCAGTAAGGACACCGTGATTATGCAGAAGGTTCAAATCATTTCGTTATTTACTGGCCACTAGTTCAAAGAACTCGCAACAACAGGTTGCATCCCCACATGGGGGCATTGCACCTCAAGAGATTACGGGGCTTAGGCATTTCATCATAGTATCACATGAAGGGATAACAAAGGACTTATGATGCGGTTTGAAATGAAGGCAACTCGTTAGGTCAGTCGTGGTCACTGAATGCCAAGTAGACTGCTGGGCCAGTTCACCAATTCTTCAAACACGTATACAACAAGGGGAACGAACACCGATACAAGAGAAAAAGCAGGAGTGGTTACTGCATTGATGCATTTATTATTTTTAAAGCGTTCTTTTCACTAGTTGCACATATTTTTCAGAAATTCAATACACCAATAAAAGTGATGAGCCTGAAGCCAACGCTTTGACGAGCAAAGTCTCTGTAATGCCAGTCTCAAATGCATGTTCATCGAAGCTCGCCATTTTAATTTCAATTGGCACACACAACAGCTGCGCACGGCATGAAGACATTATACTAAGCACACACAGCAAAAGAGATGAGGAAAGAATCCGTGCTAAGGAGATGAAAGAATTGGAATCGTTTTTTTTTTTTGTCCAATAACTAAGTCAGTTAACGCAATGAACTCACCTCATGCTGGACAAGGACACGGCCATAAGCTGCGCTTTGCCTACAAACTTGGGCGAGGCTGCTGCCATCCTGAAAGCAAGAGGTTGCAGACAAATTAGCCGCACTTTAGTTGTCAAAACTGCCACTTGAAGGCGTCAGATCAGACTTTGACGATGTTTTTCTTTTTACAGTGTAAGCTGTCAGATGCTTGCAACAGCAGCCAATTTCGGTGATGATGTCCTTCACCGCCTCCGCCGGTGTCCGTCACAGCTACCGCGCACAGCGAGAAATAAATTTGTCGAAAATTGAGCCAGTTTCAAATTACGAGCACCATTGGTCAGTGAAGCTGCAGGCAGATGAGTGTATGTGATTGGCTAATGAGATCATGTGCATTGATGACATCGTCATCATCGTTTTGATCATGTCATTTTGTTTTATTTCTTTATTCACTCCACCCTCTGTTCACGTGACCTGTACCATGAATGCACTACTGCTATGATGACAACGATGGCCCATGAGGGACCAAGACAGCTTAGCTGCAAATAATAATAATAATAATAATAATAATAATAATAATAATAATAATAATAATAACGCATTTTCGCCCTCGGGCTGCCAAGCCTGAAACAAGTGCAGAGCTGGCCAGCCATTTTTTTTTTCTTTGATTTTCTCTTTCTTTTTTCATTTATAACTACTTACTTCTTTTTGCCCATTTTATTTCCTTTCGCTCTCCATTTCTCGTTTGCTTCTTTTTTTTCCAATTTTGATACGCAGTCTTCCTAGCGTTACGCCCAGCGATGACAGCCTACAACAGCCTGGGCCCCCCAAGTGCTCCACACTTCAAACATGTTCCAGCCAAAATTTAACCCCGGCATTCATTGTGACAGCCGAGTATTATTTTAAGACACAGCACAGCATAAGATATATATTCCTTGGGTCGGGACACGTCTCGACTTGCATGCAATAGACATGCGTCTGACTGGCGTGACTGGAGCCATGATTTCAGAAGGCTGCTCCTTCAGCTTAAGTGCTGTGATTGTTGCGAGGTATTTTGCACAGGCCCTGAGTTTTGTATTTTTGCGCCATTTCAACTGCGAAAAGAGGTTGGCCACTAATTCTTCCGAGGCAACATGTCGTGGTGAGCAAGGCGTTTGATGGAAGTGGACAGCAACATACATGTGGGACATATATATATATCATTTACACTGAAACCTCGTTATCACAAAGTTACATCTTATACAAAAATAAGTTCGTTAATGTATCCAAAAATGTGTTATAAAGGTACATTCCTGGCACTGCATCTGCTGCAAGACTATTCTGCGTGTACTTCGTTATAACCGATATTTCGTTACATCCAAGTTTGTTATATCGAGGTTTTTGAGTGTGTTACTTCATTACTCGAACTGATAGGCCAACATAAACCCAGTTCGCCAAAACTGGCCAGTGTTCGCATTCAAGTTATAGCAGTACATGTCGTCTACGTTATGTCACGTACATTTAACACATTCCAGAAAATTAAATTGTTGCAACAGCATATTTGTCATCCTTGTCATATGATTCTCGATTGTTTTTGTTTTTTTTTTTTGTCACACACATTACGATATACTACATGCCTAGCATTGCCCTCGTACTGCCAATCACTGGCATCTTGGTTGGCTTAATTAATAGCATGACCACGTTGAAAAGGCATTCATTCTGGGTTCTGTCTTCAGGCCTGGAGAAATTTCTCAACAACTAAGAAGGTTTCTGCTCTGAGAGATCCGTGTGAATTTCCTTGAAGCATTGTGCCCCAAACAGGTGCTTCATTTACGCCATTCACATCACGTTAGCTTTTATGCCGCTTCAGATCCTCGCTACATCAGAGCTGGGGTGCGACTGCTGGCCTGCGCAATGCTTAGCTTATAAAGCCCATTACACATCCTGCCTATGCGGAGCGTGCTATTAGCAACAACAGCGCCAACTACCAAGCAGTCTCATTACACTCAAACCTCGATTTAACGAACACTGATATAACAAATTACTAGTTATAATGAAGTAAATGAAGAATACTCTTTTTGCAAACACAGTGCAGCAGATAAACATTAATAACGAATTTTCAGATACAACGAAGTTATTTTGAGAGCAGATGTGACTTTGTTACAATGAGGTGTCAGTGTGCTTAGTGAAGAAACTCTCTGCATAGGCAGTAATTATGAGGAATGTGTTTCTCACCACAGCAACCCAAACTTCCCGCGGCGACGGTGAAGAATATGATGAGCATAGAACATGGTGGCGTGTATTCGGGGCGAACCACCTGGAATGAATAGATGTGGGTCATACGCGACATCTGCAAGTGTCGCAGGCATGTTCCCACAGGAATGTTAGCCACACAACACGAAGTGTGTTGGAACACTAGTATCCAGTAGTATAGCCGTACACCAACGAAATTACTGAGTGGAGAAGCTTCCACAAGCAATAACCCAACACATAATCTTGCACAGGTAGCTAAAACAGTCAACGAGCCGAGTGAAAAGCCGTGGTAATTAACATTTTTACTGTTGGGTGTTTCTGGCTGTGACACGACCGCATTGTCTACTCTGTTGATGGAGTATCAAGGAATCTTGAAACACAAGAAAAGAGCACGCCGTAAAGTGAAGACGCCAGATAGAGATGAAAAGAAAGTACAACAAGCTCGTGCACAACTCATAGCAGCAAACAAAGCTGTGGCGAGCTTGCAAAAGCAGCAATCGAGCCATGTTTTGGTCTATTGCAGAAGCAATGGTGTGTACCTCTGAACACCACAGTAAACACTCAAACAAAATACAAAAAAAGAAGAGAGAGAAAAATATGCAAGCATGTTACGAATAGCAGAGCAACCCTTGTACCCACAATCGCACGTGCACTACATGGTACCTCAGACCGAGAGAGCAGCGCACATAGTACCCCCCCCCCCCCCCCTCTTCCAATCAGCAATGAAGCGTAGGGCGCAGGCAGTCCATGCTGTTCAATGCAAATACTGACACATCAAGAAGGGAAAATTAATGTTTTTAGAAAGATTCCACCGACGATGCAACCAGAAATTCACGTTAAGTCCCGCCAGCTTTGTGCTTTGGCAGGAATTTGTGAACGCACAGTGGAGAAAATGTACTGGTACATTAGTGACACTGCGGGTGTGAGTTGGAGGAAGGGGGGAGGTGTGGGTAAAGCGAGAACATGCGGACATGACAGTGACAACAAAAGGGTTAATGCATGCCTCATCGTCACATTCAGCGAGACCGAAGACGACTTACAACAAATGATTCAATAGCTCTGAGCCGGTTTAATGACAATTATGCTCTTTGATCCAGGGAGCATCGCAGAAAAAATGAAGCAAGAGCAATAGCATACCACACGTAGCGCTGAATGTGGGCTGATTTCATTGCAATGCACTGACAAGAAACATTAAGGAAATGATGCAAGAAATTACCAAAACTCACAATATAGCATCGGTCAAAAGACAGGTGTAAGAGTACATCGTCTACTTCACTGTCAGACAAAGCAATTAGATATCGCTTGGCTACCTTGCGAAAAACCAGCTTTCACTGTGAGCAAGCAGCACCTTGTAACATTGACCATTCTATTCTTTACTTCTCTGTATTTATGGTTTATTTGTGATGTGCTGTTCATGCCTCCACGTCGTCTTCATTTTTCTGTGCCATTTCCGTGGGCTAAGATTCCTGAACCAACCAGCCAACAAGTTTACCCTATCAGATCATCTTGTAAGAAAAAACTGAAGAGCTTGGGAATGTAGAGACGGTTGGCAATTTGGCAGTAAGTCTCAAGACCATTAGCAAGAATGCATTCATACCCAGGTCACAGCCATTATTACAGGGCATGTCAATCATGGAGAAAATTGCCGAAGAAAAAAACATGGACTGCAGTATTTACAGCCGTTACCACAAATCTCCAGCCATGTGCTCTTCAAACAAACTTTGTGGTTTACGACAGCTTTACGAGAACACTGCCCGGTCAGAGAAGGGTAGTAGCCGGCCACACACGGACACCGATGATTCCTCATAAACATTTGTGAGAAAGAAGCCATTACCAGACGCTTAATTATCATCAAGCCCGAGAAAAAAAAATTCAGTTACAGTGGTCTGGCACAAATCTTCTCGTTAACTATTTCTGGCTAATATGCATTGCTTAGTGTAATGATTTGGCTGAAAAACAAGTGAGCCGTAAATAAAGATTGAGACTGGTTTGTTTTTAAACGTTGTCAGTACAATCTCCCCCACTCCATTGACATTTGAAGATGCGGGGCAATTTCTGAAAACCAGTAAGACCTGCTATGCTGAGTTAAAAGGCAAGGTAGGCACTACTGCGCATTCCTTTGGTTGCTGTTAGCCCTTCGGGCTTGGAAGTCGGCGTCTCTACATTACACGCATGTGTATTGTGGTGAGGCGCAGTTATGGTGGCATGGCATACCTATGATGCGGCGCGTGATTAAAATGCACCGTCAAAGCACGGGTGCGGAAAAATAGAATGATATACTACAACTGGCTCACATTAAACGAATCGGAGGCATTTAACAAACACTTGGAATGTTAACCAATGCAGTTTGTTTGATCCGAGGCTGGAGCATGTGGTTTCTGAAAAACAACCAAAAGTTTGCCTGCACTGAGTGACTTTGACCAGTCATTGGTTGTGAATCTGTCAACAGTCAAATATGTCAACAGTCATGCCAGTCATTGGTTGTAAATCTGTGAACAGAAAGCTATTATGATGAACCAGCACGTGCTATGTTCATCTTCCTAATTTAATGCTTCACTCCCAGAACCCTTGTGCTGATTTGTCCGGGATGGAATGACTCTGATATGTGAGGGAACTAGTACAGAGAGAGAAAGAAATAAGGCAAAGAAAAGAAGAAAGTTCCTTGACAATTAAGGCAGAATTCAAATCCATGTACCCACAATCCAAAGGGGCGGAGCATTGTGACCACTTGGTTATTTCATGGGTGTGCTGGCAGAGCATAACATAGTCTTGTTAAGCATGGTACACAAGAGGGTGGGAAATGGAAGTCAAAAGGAGGAAAAGTCGGAGGGGAGATATAAAGCATAGCAAAGAAAGAAAGAGGGAACCAGCCTACCAGGAAGAAAAAGAGAGACAACAAGAGGGAGATTCAGAGACAGAGGCAGCGGGAAATAGAGAGATAGAAAGTGAAGATAGAGAAAAATAGGTGCGAGGAATAGAAATAAATAGATAAGATGGAAGAAATATAAATAAACAAAGACAGAAAAAAAAGAAATAGGGAAAAACAAAAAAGATCAGGAAAGAAAGAAGGCCACCCAGCCCCGTAACTTTCTTCTGCCTTGGCACCATGATTACGAAGCCAGCTCAATTATTTTTTTTTTTTACAGCGAAAGCTGTTATGAGATCAAAACACAGGTAGACCGCGGCGCAGTAGTTGTCCACCACCACCCCTGCTGGTCTCTATAACCAGTATCGAAATAATAAGAACTCGGTAAATAAAAAACGCCAATGACACAATGGGAATCGAACTAGGGACCGCTGCGTGCCAGCCCAGTATTCTACCACTGAGCCACGCCAGTGCTTCGAACTCATTTATAAACTGGCCTTATGCAGGCTTGATGTCAGGAAAGGAATCGCGTTAATACGAGTAATAAAGCATTTTACAGCATCACAAGAACAGCCAAGGCATCCCACAATGAGAATTGTGTAACGAGTGGGTTGGCCAATGATCCAACCCATCAGAAAACTTGTTCTTGATTCCTATTACCTGTGGCGCATAGCCACTTCAGGCATAGTTCTTCATTGTCGTCAACCACTGCTTAAAAAAAATTGCACAAAATTTTTAACAAGTGTGTAGCGGATATTACCACGCTTCTCCAAAGAATGACAAAGGATAGCTTAGTGAATGCTGGCCTAAAAATTGTGATTATTTATGCCGTAGTAGGTACCCATCACTACAAAAAAGTATATGCTTATGTCGTAGTGAGTACCCAGCAGTGTGCTTGCAGCAGTTATGAAAATAAGTGTTTAGAAAAAGCTCTGAAAGGCCCCTCTTCTAACTTTTGCCGTGACAGTGCTGCGCAGTTCCGCGCAGGCCTGGCGTTTTTCTTTTTTTTTTCTTTCCTCGCTTAATTCACCGCCAATATCTCGGTCGAAGTGCGCGGCATACTGCGTCCTGCAATTTCAGCGTACCTCGCCACAATACACGGTTTGTGTGTCCTGCGGTAAAGTTCGCTAAAACACACACACAAGAACAGCGGCAAGGACATCGTTGCACTGCCTATTTATACTAGCGTTTGCCCAACGGCATCTACCTTCATCATCGCAACGCCGTGAAGGCTGTCGAAAAGTGACGATTTTAAAAGACTTATCCGCATACCTCACTGACGAATTACAACTCATGATTACTGAACTGCACACGGAAAGCAGAAAAGTAAGTCTGAAAATTGGTATGCACAAAGGTGAAGTAATGTGCAACAGTCTCGGCATAAAACAGCACTTTGCGATAGGAGGTCTGAATTTTTTTTCCATTCAGTGCGGCTTCCCCACTGAACCACCATACAAGAAAATGTTTCCGGAAAGCCTACATCTGCTGCGAAAAGGCGCATACCGCATGGCAGCTAGTGCGATCACGCAACGCATGTTCATCTGTACTACCTACTGTGATTACACAGCACTCTGGTAGTGAATACAACACTTGCACAGTTGCGGTTTCTGTTGAACGTTGCGCCTCCTCTCAAATCGCGCGACCGACCGTCCCGCCATTTTTCGAAACCGACTGCCGAGCGGCGGGCGCAATCTCACGATTCCCAAACCACCGATCGAGTTCGTGCACTGCTCAGATCGAGCGCCGATCGATGAGCATCAAGATATGCGCTCACCATGAAACACATCAATCACCGAAACGTGAAATGCGAGTAAAACACAGCTAAACTTACCGCACCACTGTCAGCAACCGACGACGGTGCACCTTGCGCGACTGTTACGCAAGACCGTTGGTCACGATCCCGTTCAAACTTGAATATTCAAACTGCTTCTCTGGTGACGTCACCATTTGAATTATGCACTCTACGCTTTTCTAAACAACAATATAAACTTTGCACTCGCATATTGCATTGTTCTGAAGGGCTCACGGCAATTACCAACTTGAAAGATATTCCACAAGTGAGTTTTGGTTTCGGAATTATTCTGAATTGGTGTCTTCCTGACGTCACAGTCGACATCATGAGCGCTACTGTGTTCAATAATGTTCAAGTTGACAGGTACAGCATAATTGCACGCTTTTTAAGCCCGTAGTACCACTGCTGATTTTAAGCTCGAATGGACGCGTGGTTCACGGGCACGTGCAGCATGCAATGAATTTCGGAACTTTCGAGCACGTTTTATTTTTTAGACAATGGCCGAACTTTACCTTAGTATATATGCACGTGAGAACAATATTTTCGCTACTATGTGTAGTCATGACGCACCACACGTGGCATGAGAGTTGTTCTTTTGTCGCCACGCTGTAGCACGTGTATAATTCATTGTTTGAAGAAACGCGAACCTAGCACACACACACACAAAAGAATCGATCATTGCATTGTGTACCTGAAATTATGATCTAAAATTGGAAGAATTAAGTTCCGGGTTTACTAATAAGCGTGTTGAATTGAACATAATATGCGTGTTCGGCATAACAACTCTATGCGGTCATATATATTATTCCTTCTAATTCACGAATCGCGATACGGCGCAATTAAAGTGCGTACCTTCGACCAGTAGCGTATGTGGTATTCACACTAGGCGTACCGCCCCATTTCCTTAAAAAAAAAAAAACATTTCTTATTGTCCTTACCATGACATGCATAAAGTGCAAAACGCGACCATTAAAACTTCCCCCCCCCCCCTCAAAAAAGATAAATTCTGCCGATGCCCGTGGCTTGGACGCGCTCTGCAGCACGTACGGTCGTATACTTGAATTTGTAACCTACTATTTCAACTGGCAGCACTGCTCGGGTGACAGTATACACAAGTTCACCGGAATTTATAGACCTTTCACTCGAGGCTTTCTGGGCCACCTCCATAGATCCTCTCGGGGTGTTGTATATACGTAAACTGTGATGTTATTGGGGCAGGACCGCTCCAGAAATAATCAGACAGCACGCCAGTGCACAAACACACGTCCAACTTCTATTGTACCCTTCACACATGGACAACCCACACATTACGAAGTTCCTAACACAAAAACACGCGGCTAAACTAAATGAATAAGTAGAACGTTCGGCCTACAGTTCAGGTCGTCGGGGTAGTAGCCTGGGCCGTCGTTGATGCCCCGTCGGCACCATTCAGTGGCGAAGTCGACGTTGGGCGGCGTCGCCCGTCGGCCAGGATTCAGTGGCGAAGTCGACGTTGGGCGGCGTCGTCACCTGCCGTGACGAAGTCGGGAGACGCAGGGTCGCCGCGTCGAACTCCAGTGGCTCAGCGCCACTGTCGACGAACTGGAGCCGACGACCCACGTGTTCCGGCGGCAGGGAGTTGTGCCCTTGAGCACCTGTAGTCCGCCTCGGAAACCCACGCCAGCCCTCCTGGAACAGCGGCGCAAGGGCAGGTTTAGGCACCTGGCGCCAGCTCTTCACGACTAGCGGGCCAAGGACAGGTTCAGGAACCTGGCGCCAGCTCTCCTAGACCGGTCGTCTAGCGGAGGCTGAGCTGTCCACTCGGCTGGTACGAATGTCGCGACGTGGCCTGGGTCGTACCTATGGGCCAGACGCCCAACGAGGTAGTCCTGCCTCGAACGACGTGCCTCGCGCACTCCCGAAGGCACGGGTCACCCACGCTCGAGGCCGCGCCTCACGAGCTGTCGTCTTCCTCGTAGGCACCGCCCGGCACATACACGCACACATCACATCCTCTTCGCCACCGCACGGCACACTATTGTCGTTTTTTTTTTAGTTTCTGTTTCGCGCCCGCGCAGCACATATTATGACATCACCCCCTTTTCCGAGAAAGTTGTTTGCAACTATTCTACTACAAGGGCGCGGGGCGAACGAATGGTCACTGCACTGCACGGTCACTGCACGGTCCCTGCACTGCACTGCATTGTCTTAGGGGTCGCATGTACATAGTAGCAGAATGTTCACAGAAGGCTGCTTACAGTTCTGTTGGAAAACTACCGTACAAGTAGGGTTGCTATGTCGCAACTAGGAGTCAACTATTCACGACTGAGGGCTAGTAGTATTAAGAACCACGTTGCTACCTAAACGGCAGTTATGCGCGACTCAAGTAGTCGGCTCCAACATTGTCACAACCTTTGATGTAATGAACCGTGAATGAGTACTCCTGCATAAGGAGACTCCACCTCAACACTCTGTTGTTCACGTGTTTGGCGGAATTTAAATACTGTAATGGTTGGTGGTCTGACTGAATGACAAAAGGTTTGCCATAGAGGTAAATATGAAATTTTTGCACTGCCCAAACAAGTGCAAGGCATTCCCGTTCTATTGTTGAATAGTGGGTTTCTCGGGGCAATAAATTACGACTTGCGTAAGCAACTGGATGCAGCACCTGGCCCTTTCCCATCTGGAGCAATACTGCGCTCTTCGTATTTTTTGAGCATGTTGATATGAAAAATCTTGTTTTTCCCAAACACATCGATGACGTAGTCGACATCATTTTTCCGTTCGATGACTTGGAACGGCCCTTTCCACTGCATTAACAGCTTGTTGGAGTCAGTCGGGAGCAGAATTAAAACCTTGTTGCCTGGGCATAATTTTCTGGGGCGACTTTTCCTGTCATAATAGGTTTTCTGCTTCACACGAGCCTTCTCCAGCTGTTCATGGGCTATCTTGCAAGTCTCCTCTAGGCGATTGCGCAAATCAAAGACGTAGGTGTAAGTCGTCCGCGTTTCTGCGTCTAGCCCCTCATTTGTCCACAGTTCTCTCAGCACGGTTAGCGGTCCTCGGACGTGGCGGCCGTAAATGAGCTGAAACGGAGAGAACCCGAGGCTTGTCTGTGGAACTTCCCTATATGCAAAGAGTAGCGGAGCTAGGTACCTGTCCCAAGATCGAGGTCTCTCTTGGCACATTCTCTTTAGCATTGTCTTCAGGGTGCCATTAAATTTCTCCACGAGACCGTTCGCCATCGCATGATATGGGGTTGTCTTTAGCATCTTCACGGAGAGAAGCCTGCTAACCTCGTTCATTAATTCTGAGGTAAAACTTGCCCCTTGGTCGGTGACGATTTCCTTTGGCAAGCCGATGCGGGAAAAAATCTCGATGAGTGCTTCCGCAATGTGAACTGCATCGATTGCGGGCAATGCTACAGCGTCAGGGTAGCGAGTCGCAAAATCGATAAGTGTCAGAACATATCGGTTCCCACGGTCCGATCTTGGTGAAAATGGGCCGATTAAATCAACCGCGACCCTTTCAAAAGGTGTCCGGATAAGAGGCATGTTGCCTAGTGGTGCGACTCCAACTTTTCCTTTAGGGGTAGTTCTCTGGCACTTGTCGCAAGACTTGACAAAGCGCTTTACGTCTCCGTTCAGGTCAGGCCAATAAAATTCTTCTAGGACACGATCAGTAGTTCTTTTGATGCCTTGGTGTCCCGCCATGATACTGCCATGAGCAATGTCCAGTATGCCTACCCGGAACGCTTTCGGAGTGACCAGCTGTTTAAACGTCCTGCCAGTGGCAAGGCGGTAGCGTCGATAAAGCAATCCTTTATCTTCGATGAAATCGTAACAGTGGCCCTTTCCCGATTTGAACTCTTTATTCACTTTAGCAAAGACAGCTTTGAGTGTCGGGTCATTTCGCTGTTCCTCGGCGAGTTGGGCTCTGGTAACGTCAGGTAAGAGCGTTGTTGACACGTACAAAGGCCTGATATTTTCTTGACCTTGTTGATTGGCTTTGGTTTTTGCCACGCTTGAAGAAGCAGATCTTGAGGTGACAGGTGACTTGGTCGGGTGTGCTTGCGCAGGTAACTCATCCACCTGGGTATGAGTCGCCTGCTTCCAGTCAGAATCTGGATCGTATGGTCCTCTGACGCCTGGAAGATTTCCCAGCACAAGGTCATAGAGGGGTTGATCCATACAAGCCACTTTCAGCATCCCTGTGAAGTACGGCGTGTTGACTTGTACAATAGCTTCCGGGAGATGGCTAGTTGACCTGTCTAGGAGAACGACACTGATTTTCTTGCCTGTCAGGCACACATCAGGAACGAGCTCCCGTCGGACGATTGCCGTGTTGCATCCCGTATCGCGTAAGACTCGAACCTCTCTTCCTAGCAGCAGACCTTCGACCACTGGCATCCCGTCGGCCAGGAAACGTATTGTACCCTGCACGTTCTTGTCGTCGTGGTGACTTGAGCAAGGAATCTTCCCTCCTGGACGCTTGGCTGTTTTTCTAGCACCAGCCCGGGCAGAGTCAGGTTCGCTAAATGCGCATGAAGAACTCGGTTTGTTGTTCCCATGCTGGTTTCGGCAAGTTTCTGTGACATGTCCCGTTTTACCGCACAACTTGCATTTCAGCATCTGCTTAGGTGGATTGCGGCAGTCAGGAGCCAAATGTCCGAAACGATGACACAGGATACACTTGAGTTGCGGTTTCCGCGACGCTTCGGTAGGCTTTCCACTGGATTCTTTCGCGGGGTCAGGACCTTTTCCTATATTAGTCACATTCTGCGCCTCAAGGAAGCGATCCGTCAAATTAGCGAGTTCATCTAGTGACTTGCACTCTCGCTCTTTTAAGAAACCAACCAGCTTTGGATGGCAACAACGCAAGAATTGCTCCGAGATTACGTGATCCCTTAGACCTTCATAGGTTTGGGATACGTTTGCCATGTCTATCCAATGGTCGAAATAACTGGTAATTCTTGCTGCTAACTGTCGTCCAGTTTCACCATCTGCTGCTCGTGCTTTCCGAAACTTATCTTGGTAGCCTTGCGCCGTAAACTGAAATCTCTGCAGTAGAGCTTTCTTTACTTTTTGGTAGTC